GATTGACAGAGGATTTTATGTAGGTAGGATCTGACTGCGAGAAACCACCCACAAGAGATGTTACTCGTCTTGGCTGCGGGTAAATCTCTTGGTCAAGAGTTGAGTCTCAACAGCACAGTTTTCCATTCGCTCCAGAATTTTAACCGAGAGTTGTCATTTAGTGGTACATTTGCCAAGCAGACTTTACTCATGTACCGAATGAGTGTTGATAGACTTTTCACCCATGCGTTTGGGGGCAGGCTGATGAAGACCAGAAAGGACACTACACCTCTGTGGCCGCCAGCTCCGAGATCCCCTGCCAACTCTGTTAATGCTCATTTGAGACATTATCCGTGGCGCACGGCGGGGACGTGCAGCAGGAGTCTTGCTTGAGGTTCCATAAAACCAAAACAGTGAAAGACTGGCGCCCTAGTGAGGTACGGAGTATCTCCTTACACACATCACATCAGACTTAACTTTCCCTCACGCCTGTGACCTAAATTACCGCGCCACACCAAGGAACTAATAGCAGGAATCATATTAGGAATTGGCGCTGTCTTTCGGGTAGGAAACAGTATTCAAAAGAATTCTTAAAACATTAACAAAAGTTACAGTCATTTAATTTTTATGTGTGTAAAGGTTGAAAGGCCGACTTAAAACTTGTGAGTACACTTTTCGGATCACCCCATACTTGCTCTAATCCCGTGCCAGTGAATATGAAATGAAATGTCCCTCATTGCCCCATTTGAAAAACTGGTGAACAAACAATTAGTCCCGGCACAATCCAGAAATATGCGCATGCAGTAAATGCTTATGGTAGTTGCTAGAGATGCCAAAGCCAATAGTCGCTACCAGAAATTCTGTAGATTCTTGCTAAAGGGCAGAGCGAATGGAGTCGCACCACCACCCCTTTTTTCATCTCTCTTCCCTCCCCGCTTTTCCAGAACTGGAGTATGCATGCTAAACATCTCAAGGATGAGAATCACACGGACACAAATCACGGAAACCCCGTTGAATCGTATAGCATACTTATATTGAAGCACCAGAATATGATTTTTGAGTAACCTGTACTCCAAAGTGGGTGGGTGTTCAGCGTTATCTAGACCAATCAACATAAGATATAAAGATGTAAACAACGGACAACATTTATAGTAACCTGAAATTCTGACAACAAGCAGGGACACGCGAGCAAAAGTCGGAAAGTACAATCATTTTGCGAAAGGAGTGGTATTCTAACAACCTTGAAGTCAATAAGGTGCTGCCTTCTTGTGCAACTTATGGGAAGGGGAGGCCAAGGAAGAACCGTGTCGGTCGCTAGTAACGAAGATCAGGCACATCTTGATTACTGCCAATGAAACACGTTGTGTAGCTTCCGGATCCTCTCTGTCACTAGACATATTGGTGCAGGAATGCAGACACAAAGAATACATTAAGGAAAAGAAAAAAAAAAAGGAGGGGGGGGGGGGTCTAGCCCCTTTTTTAGAGGCCTATGCAACTAAAATGTACAATAATAACAATAAAATAATAATGATAATAGACAGGTATTGCACACCGATTATTTACAATCCTTATTTGAAATGATAGAAAATGTATAAACAAATACTTAAAAAGCTGAGTGGATGGTGTCAGTATGGGGTCAGTTAAACTGCTTCCTTGACTTATAAAAGAGTAATGAAGATGTCTTGAAAGAAACTAACTCACAAAAAGAACTGTTTGCCTACACCAGAAAGAGAAATTCTACATTCGGTGGTCATGTCATGGGAACGAGAAAACTGGAGTACATCATGACAGTGGGAAAGTTTAAAGGGAGAAGAGGCAGAGGCAGACCGAGAGAGAACATGCTGGACAGTTTGACACCGTGGCACGAAAGATCATTTGTGTCAGAGCTGACTGAAAGTACACGAGACAGAAGGTTGTGGATAGAGATGACTACCAACGACACACGACGTGCATTTAATAAAAAATAAAAAGAATTTACTTCCTAGTACATTTTGTGGTACCTATTTTAAAGAGAGTAGGAACATTTGAAAGAGAAAAGCCCAGTTTGACAAAAATTCTAACACACGACTATTGGCTTCACAAACCTCTTAGCCAGGGTGCTACCGCGCCTGCCCATCCGATTTTAAAAAAATCGTCACGTTCATCCAGTATCCCCTAATGGGGAGCTTTGTGGTTATAATTGTGACTAGCTTATGTGCACCATTTAAAATAGCTTAACATTGCCGCCACCAAGAAGCCCTGAAAAGGAAGGACTCTCGCAGTATTGGTGCGATCGTAGGAGACAGACCCAAATACCGTCCCGACCGACGACGAAGTCGTCTGCTGGCCAACAATGTGTGACCCGGTCGTCGATGCCGAGGCTGCATTGGAGGGTCTTTTAAGTTCGATTCATATCCCGTGCTTGTGACCAATTTTCTGTTTTGTATATGACTCATTTTAGCATGGTTTCCTTAGCACGGGTTTCCCACGCTTGGCGAGTTTCGGTATTTTATTGCTTGTATTTTCTTTCTATCAGAGATAATGCTTTCTAATATACATTAAAACTATTAGATAACTTCAGACGGTAATCTTTTACTCATAAGTTCACCAAACCATTTTCTTATTTGGCTTAAACGTAGTCATGATTCAGAAACCAGAGGAGGCCGCTGGCTGTTAAGATCCAAGTTAGGGAAACTTCTATCCGGTGAATGACTCATAGGGTGGTTTCTACGGGTTTCCCCAGGCCGACACAGTCGACAAGGGCAAGGTTCACTTCGGGCTGCACGCTGTTTACACAAACACATTCTTCCTTGAAACTTGGTGACGTCGGCGAAAAACATGTTGTTGATGATTCCGACCTTAACCCACTTTACCATGATGTCACAGTCTATTTATAACATGGAAACTACCAGGAGATTTCTTCATCAAACTGAAATTTTAAATTCATTGAAATCCTTCACTCGCAACATAAATTTTGCACAATAATTTTATAGATTACGTTTGAGAAAGATTTGGGTTGGAAATTTTGTCGAGAAATTGGAGCTGAAAAAAAAAATCATGCTGGGATGAAATGAAAAGGAGGCCTTGATGCGGATCTGACCAATCAGGATCCGGCTATATTTAGCGGCGGCCTGTGATTGGTCCGAGCTGTGGCTGGTTAAATAACAGTTCTGCAAGTCACGGGACAGATGAAAACAAATTACCGACACGATCAGGACGTTGTTTGTTGACGATTTTACAAGCGATTTCGGTAATAACTAGTGATTTCCTTAAGTGATCTATTGCAGACAAACTACTTTTGCTGTTAAAATATCAGGTAAGTTGAAATGTACAGTTAGTATTAGCGGTTAGCGTCTAATTTCTTGTTTTGATCATTTTCATTGCCAACCAGATACTTCTAGAAAATTCGACCCTGTGTTTCAAAACATTACATAACTTTCAGAGATAGTGATAGGACAACACCACTGACGTGGAAGATTCGCGTCCTCAATAGTTCTTAGCATTAACTTATAAACATGTTTTATCGAAGAACATTCGATGGAATTGTTAAGTGTGAATCACACATGGACACGTCACATTTGGTTTGAATGCCCAGTGTTTAGGGAAGTTGTTTACGCCATTTGTAGTAGTTGTGACCTGGACGACCCCGCTGTGACTGGAAGTTCCACGAAACCGCGACAGCTCATTCCACATCAGCTGTTCACTTGCAACATAAACTCCTCCTTTACAGGAATCTCTCATTTGGGAGCGGAGCTCGACCAGAGTCGGACGCCTACGTTATTTTCTGAGCTAACCATCTCTCGTATGATAACAATAGACATGGAGGAGATCATGTCAACAATGCCAGAACTTGATGTAAGCCAGTGGTCTTACAGCTGTACATTTATTGTTGCCAAATAAAAAATTTTGCACAAAGACTTTGATCTTGTGTTATAGTTATTTAAATCAGAGAACGTTTTGCAGACATTATTTATGGATACAAAGTTGAAAATTTAACTGATGGTTGAAGGTAGAATCTACTTACTGGTTGCTACTTTAGGCTAAAGTTTAGCAGCCTCTTATTGTAATCATAATCTTTGTAGACTGCTATCATTAATGGGGCAGGTGAAGTGGGGAATATTAAACATGATGACAGAAGAGGATGACAGAAATGAATATTTAGACGATTTGGTCAAATAACAGAATTAGGCAATCCTTACCTTTTGCTAAATAACTTTCTCACGCATCCTATAACTTAGTTGTATTTGTCCTCTGATATTCAGATAAGTACAGACTTTTACAATGGAAACAATCAAGGAAAATTCAAAATACATCCATTTTAATATTCATAATATTTGTGTTCATTGGAGCTACATTTAATGTTCTATTTGTAGTGACTGTAAAAAAACAAAAAAAAAACAATGTTGCATCAGTTCATAGAAATCTATTTTTAATCATTCTTTTGTTAAAGGTTTCAGTCACAGGCTTCTGTAACAGTGATATGCGATTGCCAGCTATTTGAGGGTCTTTCATTACTGAAAGAATTTTTAATGAAATTGAATAGTTGGTAGATTATTCCTCTCTTTAACATTTAATTACTCAAATTTTGAGTGGCAGCATTCAGTGAAAATTCAGATTGCAACTCCCCCTTTTTTTTTAAATCTTGTATTTTAATCATGCAATAATTTGGTCTCTTTGAAAACTTTTTGTGATAGCTGGATACTACATCAGTTGGGGAAAATGAATTCTTTTCCTTTAAATTATATTTTTTTCTGAGGTTTTAATCACAAACCCCAGTTTTGTTGACATCTAATCACTAGGTATATTTGAGCTGTTTTCTCTTATTTGGTTACCCAAACACTTTAAAGACTTTTGTAAACTATTTAACAGCACCCAGTATATGTCAAATTTTTTAAATCTTTCAGATATCCAATATTTTCCCCAACCAGTCACATCAGTTTATAGCTACCTCAACAACAACTAGGTGTGCGAACACGCCAGCAGGGGAAGGTAGCTCTGCAGAACCAAATTTCTCGACATTGATACCAACGACATCAACACCAATGACTGTTAATAAGGTTGGCACTTTTTTTTTAAACGTTTTTTTGTTGTTGTGTATAACATTTGTCTAGCTTGTGGTTGTTTTGGATTTTGAATCCTCCGTTGGCTTTATGCTTTATTTCAGTAAAAAAAAATTTAGGAGCTTTTCTTTCCCAATTAGTATCTTTAGTAATGATACATCATGTTTGTTTAGATAAAATGTGTAAATTGGCGGAGGCTAAAAGCATGAAAACTTAATTATTTTAATACTTTCACAGAAACCAGTTTCTTCAACAAAAATGGATCTGTTTGTTCCTGGGTCAGACTGCAGTGCTCATTTTCCTATGAGCTCCATGTCATCAATTTATGATAATGACAGACCACATTTCTTGCATTGTGGGAACCCAATCTTCACCAACACAAGCATGGAGTCTGGCTTTTCTGATGACATGTGTGGCCTGGATGACAACATGGAGGATGGATGTTTAGAGAACTTTCTCACACCCGATGTCATGAACAGCTTCAGTCAGGCTACAACCTTGAACCCTTCATCAGAATTCTCCTGGGCAGGAAAACTGGAACATGATGTGTCTATGCCAGCGGTCAGCGACAGTTTAAGCCCAAACCCAACTTTGGCTCAGCTTGATATGGAACCAGACATTTCATTGGTCAATGATATAATCGGCACAGATCAGGATGACAGCAAACTTAACTTCGTGACACTGGACTATTTTTGTGGGGACATGAATGACTTCAGTAGCCAGCCCAGTTTTACCTGTGCCCCCAGTTCCTCACCTGGGTCAGCTTTTGGATATACTTCTTCAACAGATATCAAGAAATTCTCGGAGACAATAGCCACTACCTCAGCCGACAAGTTTCTGAAACAGACTGGTTCCTCTATTGACAGTAACTTCCCTCCAAGAGTGACTCAGCCGCAATTAATTGGAGTTGCAGCTGTGATAAAACCTGAAATGAACAACTCACTTTTTTCTGATGATGTCAGTGATGGTCTCACCAAACTAAAAGCTCAGTCTCCAAATCTGCACAAACTTTTGAGCACAAACCATCCCTTAGCTGTGATCAAATCTGAAATCTCTAGTCCCCCAAGAGATGTTACAGAGAAAGAGTCTGCAGTCCGGTGGCATGCAGATTCCAGTGTCCAAATTGTGCCCTCATCAGGGGCGGGCAAAAGAACTCATGTGAAATCTGAGCCACTATCACCTAAAGCTGGCATGAGTGAAGAAACAATGGAGGAGAAATGGAAGGATATTCAGCATTTCATGCACAGTCCAGGGGAACAGTCCAGGAGAAAGAGGAGGAGGTTTGGTGAGTAGTATTGTTTTCACTAATATTTACTGAATCTTGGTTTCTGGGAAGGTTATCACACAATAGCAGATTCCAGAAGTCATTGTTTTCCACAGTTATAAATATTGCCCTCTGCTGTTGAGACATAATGCTTACATAGCTGTCCAAAATATATAAATCATAAAGTTAAGAATTCAGAAAAGACTTTCATTGGCTCAAACTGAACTAAAAGGCACCATATGTTGGACAGAAAGTTGAATCTTGATGGCAGAATGGACTTGCCAAGAAACATTTCTCTCAACTTCAGAGGGATATACTTTTTTTTTCAGAAACTGATCTTTTGTACGTACAGTTTGCATTATATGAAAAATCTGAAAAATAGGATGGCAAATAAATAGGTAACTAGGTGGTGTTATTTATAAATTATAAGAACCAGCTAGAGTTAAAGCAAAACAAAAGACAGTTTCTTAAAATGTTATTGGTGAACGGACGGAAGTCAGATGACAGGATCCATTTCTATACCGTCATGGTTTATTGAGGATGTAGTCCTAGACTAGACTTTCTTGACTATTGGGTGACATGTTCACAAAACTGTGCTGTTTATGATAGTGAATCACGCTCAGAACAGTTTGGCTAGGGGGAAAAAACACATCCTAACTCTTTTGTGCTTACTGCCCCGAACCACTTGATTGGCAAGAAATTGTGCCCATCACTACCTCACTCAGACATATGTATTTACACACACAATAATCGCTACACATACATTGCTGCATATCACCTGCTCATAAATCACAGCATATAACTCACACATACACACCACTGAACTTCGCTCGACACATACATACATAAAAATGTTGAGTGCTGTCCTGTACTGTCTTAGTGTATTCACAAATTTACAGTAGCGGGTTGTGCAACTTTTTGTTGTTGTGCAAATTTTTTTTTAAATTATGTACAATGTGTTCTCTGGGGGTGGATGGCACTCCAGAATGACACCTTGGTGTTTTGCTTTCAGTATGTTAAAAAAAAAGTATCCAGTACATTTTGTCAGAATTTGTGAAATGGCTGATTCTGTGTTAATTAGAAAACTCCAAGCACAAGAACAAATATCTGGCATCTCTCACTGCTGCTGAAGTGTTTACCATATCCTTTGTTTAACAATGGAAAGTAGGGTGAATATCGCAGTACCAATGTTAGCCATTTGCCAGTGTGTCCATTCTGTGATATCCATGCATGTCAACTTTAAGGACAAAGTGTTAAGGTATTATGTGGTAGATAACTGCTATAGGGTGCCGATGTGTTTACATATACCAGGTTATTGCATATTGAGTCATGTGACCAGTTCCATACCTTTCCATCTTTTCTCCAAATTTCCAAGGCCACCTGAAAATTATCTGGTATTTTTGTGTGTGTTACTAGGTTGATTGTACTTCCAAACTGGTCTGAACGTGTCCTACCATAGGTTGATTGTACTTCCATACTGGTCTGAACGTGTCCTACCATAGCCTTAACCTTTACCCCTAGACTACTACTAGGTAAGAGTGGCAATAACTGTTGCAGATAATAAAGGTAGCTGGACAACAGTCATGAGGTTTATCTCACTAATATGTAACACCATTTTCAGGGAGAATGCTTGCTTTGTCTACAGATTCTGCAAGCTCAGAATATATCTCCGATGATGATGATGACGATGAGGATGATGATGATGTTTCACAACATGGGGGCAAATATATTTATGTTGACAGCGATGACGACTACTCAGACATTGGTAAGTGTTGACTGGTTATTATTTAAAATGGATTTCCTGCACTCACTATCTCTTATCTTGTGACAGTTCTCATTTTAATTTCATTAAAAAAATATATATATATCTATAGGTATTATTTTTTTATTTTGTAATACAGAGGTAGCTAAAAAAAAGTTCGCACAGTAATCACCCAGCAGTGGAATGTATCTAACATATCTACATGTACGCTATTTGCTGTCTTTGAATACATTACACTAGTAATGTGTTGCATGGCGTTTTAATAAAAGCAACTGGTTATAAACATTTTAATACTAATTTTGTTCAGACACTAAGAGATGCATATAAGTGACATGGAATTTATGAAGTACTAACCTGATTTTGATTAGCCTCCAAACATATAGCTACCATATTTCGATCCAAATATGGCACTGTATGTCACATAATGATGTTATTTTTAAATAAGTAGCCTCTATGAGAATGGTTAAGCATTTCACTGATATACATTTTTGTGGCTACCTCTATATATTTTTTTGCCTATTGCTGCTCTTTGATTTCTTTTTCTTTCTGCTGTCATGTATTATTGCATGTCCCAAGACAGGAGGAACTTGGTATCTCACAGTTTACTATGGTGTTCATTTTTGACAGAATTATCATAATTTAGTTATTTCTTTTGGTAAATGTTCAAAATATCCCTGCCGTTTTTCTGTATTTTTATTTGCAATCATAATATTTTCCCCCAGTCTAAGCTCTTTTCTTGATGCACAGTGTCGGTCTTAAATCATTTCCATAAAATTCATTTTTTGAAAGTATGAAACTGGCTGTTCTTGTTTTACTTTGCTGAAAGCTCATTTGTAGTTAAGAATTTAAAAAAAATACTTAGATGCACTAAAAAAAAAAAAAAATAACTAAAGTTCAGCAAAGAGCTTTTGTAAATTTTTTTTAAACATTATAAATGACCAGTTTGCAATCTTTTTTTTTTTTTTTTTTTTAGGTAAAGCCATATCATTTATTTGTTGGAGAAGTGAGAAAATGCTCATTATACTTCATCCTCAGATGCTGATTTGGCTCACATTACACCAAGTGAGTGTGAATCTCTTGTGGCCGTTGGGAAGAAACAGAAACAGTTCTTCTGGCAGTACAATGTCCAGTCAAAAGGTCCCAAAGGAACCAGGCTGAAGCTGTCAGTGGAGTCCCCGGCCGACCCTCATGTGCTGAATGACTTTGAAGATCCTGTGTTTGACGAATGTAACACTGCCATAGCCGGCATCCGTCATGGGGGCAAGGCCAGGAAAGGGGATGGAAATGAGATCACTCCAAATCCCAGGAAATTGTTTATGATTGGTCATCAGTTGCTGCGACTCAACCGTCAGATCAATGCTTGCCAGCTGGGTAATGATGTGCCAGCTGCCAGGAGGAATGAATCTCGTAAAGAAAAGAACAAATTGGCATCAAGGGCCTGCAGGTTAAAAAAGAAAGCACAGCACGAAGCCAATAAGATCAAACTTTATGGCTTGGAGCAAGAACACAGTAAGTTGAATTTTATTTCTTGTGCTCTTTTTCTTGCTGCTTTCCATTTTTGTGGGGGGGGGGGGGGGGGGGGTGTTTAGTAATGAAGTTTACTTTTGTCATTCATCATATTTGTGTATAGTTTTCTTTTTTTTTTTTAAATGCACATTGATCTATGCATTTCTGTAGCCCTTTATAGTCTCTTCATTATCTATAAATTTATAATTCTAACCTTTTTGATAATGCATTCCTGCTAGATCTTTGGCAAACATGATTGTGTGAGTTTAACACACATATTCCTAGGTCAACTTTTGTGCTGTAAGTTTATAACTCCATGTCTGATTACTTTAATTATGGAATAATTAATTATTGAGGGATTTTTAAAAACAAGAAGCCTGTTTTTTAACAGATCTTTACTATTTTAATAGAAGCCACATGATCTGTAATATTTTGTCTTGTGCTAAAATTGCACTACTGGCAAGGCGGAACATTTGAAAGATTTATTTCATTCAAATGTCAGATAGATGTTTTAATCAGTGCAGTAAGTCATATCAGCAGGAGGTTTGTGCATTTATTCATTCCGTAAAGTCAGTTTGTCTAAAGGCTGATATTGAAATGTCACGGTTTCTTGTTCCTAGCAACCCAATTTTTTTTATTCCCAATAACCCTCTTTCAGCTCAGCATTATTAAGTCTAAGCTCCAGTTTTTCTTGATTGCTATGATTTTCTTGTTTTCACCTCCTCATGTCCTGCTGTATCACTTCATGCTTCTTTTCTTGTCCTGTTGTATCACTTCATGCTTCTCCTCTTGTCCTGTTGTATCACTTCATGCTTCTCCTCTTGTCCTGCTGTTTCACTTCATGCTTCTCCTCTTGTCCTGCTGTATCACTTCATGCTTCTTTTCTTCCCTTTCTGTTTTTTTTTTTTTTTGCTGCTACCTTTTATTCCATGATGGAGTATGGGTTGTCCAAATCAACTAAATGAACTTTCAAGACTAATTCTATATTTTTCTTAAGTTTTTTTTTTTTTAAAATATATATATGGTCTTCCCAGACAGTGTCTTAGTGAAGGAAAATACTGTGTTGTGATTTTCTGTTTTGCTCAAATGATATATAACAGTAATTGAATGGATTAGTTGTCTTTTCCATCTAAGAAGAAATTAAAAGATAATTCTATTATCTTTATAGGTCAACTCAACTCGGTGCTGAAGTTTATCTGGCCAAACATTCGAGAGAAAACCAAGGCTCTGTTAGGGCACACGGACAAAGCTGCAGTGTCTTCGTCATCCACAAACTTGACCGGTATGCTGGAGTCACAGATTACTGAAAGTCTCAGTAAGTAGCCATTGACACTTTTCTAATAGTATTTTTTGTTTCTAGAACCTATCTTAACAGTCCCTTTAAAAAAAAAAAAAACTCATGAGTATAATTTATCTTTAATCCCTTAGAATTAGTAGAAAATGTAAATTATCAGCATTATGGTGATAAGTGTGCTGTATTCACCATTATTGTCTCTCCCCAACTCCTCAATTTTCAAAGAATAAGTTTATGGCAAGTCATAAAACTAGAGTTTTCTTGGAGAGTGATATGTTAAAAATATCATATACCAGTAATCACACTTGATAATCTGTTGTGGCATGATGTTCTGATAATTATTTAGACCTGGTTTCGGTTCGGAAATCACCGCACATCTGAGGCTGACACGTACAATTGTTTTTCAGGTTGACTTTCGTGTGGTATAATTTTAATGATTGCAAAAGATCTGTATTCTTTGTGGCAGCATTTCACATTATTTAGATATAATTACAATTGTTAAAAATAAAATAAAAATTTGTCAGTTTTAAATTCATATGATACACCAGAGCTCCAAGAACTTATTTTAAAATCATTATTTTTATACAAGTCAGAAGCTATGATGGGTTTCATTTAGCAATTTGTGAGTGCCACTTTGAACATTCTAAAACATCTGTTTGACCCTGCTGTTCAGCCAGTTGTAGTTAGACCTAGAACATTCTTGAACACTCAGACCCAGGGGTTGAGCCATTTGTAGGTTATGTCTAGAAAATTCTAGAACATCATTTAATCCAGATGTTAAGGCAAATGTAGGTGCTACCTAGAACATTCTAGAAGCCTTGAATATTCTAGAACATTCCTTTGACCAAGGCTTTGAGCTATTTATAGATAGTACTTAAACATTCTAGAACCCTTGAACATTCTAGAACATTCCTTTGACCCAGATGTTAAACCAGCTGTAGTTGGTACCTACAGCAGGTCTGTTCAGCCAAGTTTACTCAGGGGCCAACATCTTGAAAATGAGGATAACCACAGGCAAGGGTCCAGAGCCCAAGCATAGAAAGATAGTTAATTCAATCCAGCTGGCAGTGATCTGCAGGCGATTTGCTAGGCTTCTGCTAGCCATCATTTGAATAGCCCTGACCTAGAGCATCATCAGGCAAGCCCCCTTTACTTACCGGAACATTCCTTTACCCATGTTAGGCTGGGTTGACCCCACCTTTACTTACCTGAACAATCCTTTACCCATGTAAGGCTGGGTTAACCTAGGAGCTAAGGTCATTTTTCAACCAAAAATCTTCCTTGATGCAAATTTGAACCCTTTACCTTCAGGTAGATGAGCGTCTAGTTTCTAAGTTACGTTCTTTGTTGAAATATGTTGCTCTAATATGACCTATTTTCTGATCCTCCTCAGAGAGCATGATCGCCGGTCACACCACGAATTATGTCAACAGTGTCATCATCAACGTGGAGCGCGGGGACAACAGCGGGGGTCTGAACCTCAAGAGGAACCACAAAACATGAACTGATTCCCACATTCAGAAAGAACGTCAGTGATCCATATGACTGTATGTATCAACATGAGGCCTCATGAAAGATCTGCTATCAGAACTGTTTGGAGATATGCATTGGCCGTGCCATCCAGTGAATCACTGCACTTTTTACCCATTGTACAGCCACCTGCTTTCTTGTGGCTGCCATTTAGGTGGTCATTAGTATCATGGACAACATGGTGCCGCAGTTATATCTACACACAGTTTAACCAGTAAACAGCATATTGCTTGCCTGGTGTGCACAGTTGTTTGTGGAAATCAGTGGTTGTCTTTATGGTCAGTGTCTCAGATATCTAGATTGATTGGTAAGCACAGAAACCGACAGCGGTCATCCGCAAGGCCCGTTCCATTCCGAGGCTGTCATTTACAGTTTTCTTTCAGGTTGATTTTCCTGTGATGTAATTTTAAAAATTGCAAAAGATCTGTATTCTTCATGGTAACATTTCATATCACCTTATTTAGATTTTTTTTTTTTTTTTAAATGTCAGTTTTAAATTCATTATACACCAGACAATAATCATTTCAAAATCATTGTTTTGTGTAAGTCAGAGAAGCTAAGGTTGGTCTTTAGCAATTTGTAGGCGGCACTTAAAACATTCTAAAAAACCTAGAACATTCTAGAACATCCATTTGACCCAGATATTGAGCCAAGTGTAGTTGGTACATAAAACATTCTAGAACATCCCTCTGAGTGAGCTTTTTATAGGTGGTATCTAGAACATTCTAGAAACCTTGAATATTCTTGAACATCCTTTTCACTAGAGGTTGTTATTATTTTTTTGAACCATAGGCATTTTATTTCTATAAAACAAAATCTAGAGAAATTGGGAGGAATTTCACACAAATTAGGCTTCAGATAATAACCAGTAATTTGTGTGTGTGTGGGGTAGCTTTAACTCTTTGTGTCCTAGAGAGTTTAACATCACAGGCCCAAGGGTTAGTAAAGAGAGAATACAGTTGGCGCATCTTGAGTTCATTGGGTTGCTAAGTAGGAACCTGTGAATGCCTGATGCGTTCCTCGAAGAGTTAAACATAGATGTTTGCACCTAGTAGCAGACTAAAGTAAACTTTGAGCTTGATTTTCAAAACGGATTGGGATGAGCAGAAATGTAAGTCTGCACTGGTGGTGAACTCCTAGCAGATATAATCTGTTTATTTCTTTAGATGTGTTGCAGTGTGAGAGAACTAGTGCAGTCGAACTCTATCAATCATAACTGTTCATTTTAAGAAATCACTGATGGCCCAGATGGAGGAGGTGGGAAGATTACATGACATTTCAGTGATTTCTCACTGAAGCTGGGGACAGAACTGGGAAGTCATATTCACTGTTCACATTGTTCGCTGGTAGTAACCGGTGCGGTGTTCTTGAATGATATGTGACTGTGTTTGACTAATACATGTACATTTCTAACAAATATACCACGGCATCTGGTGTATGCTTATCATTTTAGTTTGTTTTGGCATACCAATGTTACCATTATAACTGCATATGTGTGTGTCCATTTGATGTCAGCTTCCAGAACTATATTGAAGACTGTTTGTTACAGGCCTCATGACAGCTTGCCAGTTTGATCACTGAACATTGTCCAGTTCACTTACATTGTGTAGATTAGGCTCAGGCTCACAGATGTAGAGCTTTTTGCAGCCTCATACTTATCTGTTTACATAAAATCCTGTAGATGACTTAAGTTTATCTTTGATTGTAGTTGGAGACATTAAATTTGCTAATTTTTTTTTTTATACAACTGTACATCTTTGTTAAATAATTGTTTTAGAACTGTTCTTGTAAATATGACCATATATTTTATTTTGTACATATGCTTTCCTTTGTTGTACATATGTTGTATTCCCTGTGATTCTTAAACCATCTCCTTTTGTAAAGGAGCTTGCCATTTTGTGATGTAAATTAAATTCCAGTTTGTACTTAATAACGAAACAAATATTTTTCCTTTTGTACATCAAAGCACAAAGAGACATCTTATTCAAAGCATATTTATTCCAACTCTGTGCTACCAGTGCCAGACATGGTCACTCACAACAAACCATAAAAGAAATTTAGTAACCACGGAAATGAGATGTCTGAAAAGGGCTGTAGGAGTGACCATAAGAGATAAGGTCAGGAATGAGATCATAAGAGAACAAGTCGGCACAGAACCAATTCTGGATTACATACAAAGACAGCAAGTGAAATGGTTTGCCCACTTAGAGAGAATGCCTTGTGACACCATACCATTTAAAGCATACATGGAAAGAGAAGAAGGATTTAGAGCACGGGGTAGACCAAGAACAAGGTGGAAGGATAACATCAGAGAAACTCTACAACAGCTCGATGTGCCTATGGTCGAGGCAGCCAGAAGAGCCAGAAACAGAACCTTATATCTCCCTCGACACCCACAGCGGTAAAAGAGGAAGTAAAGAAGAAGAAGAAGACTACCACATTTATTTTCTTAAAACCTGATTACTAGCATGGTCATCAAGGACTTTTTTTTTTTTTTTTTTTTTTTTGATGGAAGAATTGTACGCTTTAACGAGACATTCTCTGTTTGACATCGTATAGTTCATATGTAAGTAGTTCATTTCAGATTAGTTCATACAAGTGTTTTGTTGCATCAGTTAATTTCTGTATTAGTTCTGTACAGTTTCATAAGGTAATTTTGAGCTATAAGGTTTTGCGCAATAAAATGGAGTGTTTTTCCCCTTCATTTTTCTTGTTTTATTTTCTTATGCTCCTGATATTTAGGGCAAAATATGATCTGGTATAATTACAGAAAAATGATTCAGAACTCTGTCTCATGAATGATTATTCAGAGCAAATGTGTAAAGAACATTGAACAGCATATTTTCTTTCAGCAAAAGAGGCCTGAAAATGTATCTCTGGGCAAATTTACTATTCAATCAATTGTATTACAAAAGTCTTTGTGAAGCAAATGAACACACAAAACAACCCTCACAGTTCAACATTGATGATGAAAGAAAATCTGCAAATTGTACAGGGCAAACAACTGCTGTAAGAATGAACAGCCATTTAGAAACAATTCAGTGCATAAAGAAAATGTTGGAAGGGTTGTTTGGAAGATATAACGGGTGTCGTGATATAAATAATAAGCATTATGCTGGGGAAACAACTACAGAAAGTTGTAGATACTGATATAGAAAGTGGAAAAACTAGCCATAGCGTGATTGATAGGAAGATGCAATTAATGATAATTCATAGGAATAAGTAATGCACCAGGCTTACCCATAGATGCTCTGTCTCCTGCAGCAAACATGAGATGTAGGGGACAAACTGTCACATGTCACATCTGGAAAGAACTCTGTGATTGTGGTGCAGCAGAAAGTTGTCAACAAGTAGATGGATACAAGCTGTTGGAGATGGACAGATCTTGAGAAGATGATCAGCAAAACACTAGATGATGTTGACACGTTAGTCAATCAAAGATGGTAGATTTTTGTTATTTGTCAAGTGTTCTTTGTTTCTAAAAAAAATGTCCTTATGGACAACTTAGAAGTATTTCTTCTGTATTTGCTGATTTTATAGTACCAGTAATATAACCTGTATTTTTTTTTAAAATCTTTTCTGTGTGCGTGTCTGAATTACCTATACATTTTTTACTGATGAAACTCAAGAATTGAGCCTCTGTATAAATCTGTGTTATTCTTGGCTGATAAATTTAGAGTTCAGTCTGTATGTAAGTCCAATTTATACGTTTTTACCTGTTAAATTTAGAGTCTTTATGTAAATGTTTGTTATTTTTAGCTAATGAACTTTAAGTTTGGTCTGTATGTAATTCTTGACTGTTGAATCTGGTTTAAGTCTTTATAAGTATGTTATTCTTGGCTGATGATTTTGGAATTCAGTCTGTGTTTAATTCTCGACTGTTGAATCTAGAGTTAAATCTATGTAGGCATGTTATTCTTAGTGATGAATTACCTTTTGACTGTTGCATTTATGGTACAATTTATAATTTGTCTTTCATTGGACTACAGTTAAACCAGAAGTTGGAGGGGGAGTTAAGTGGAAACAGAGATTATGTAAAATGGTTTGTTACACCCCAGAATTATGTTTGTGTGCAGGATATTTATACTTGTGGAAATCTGAGTGCTAAATGTTGCAGAGTTGATGGATACAGGAGTAAATAAATGGGGGGGGGGGGGGTGTGTGTGTTAATCTTTAATTTTTTTTTTACTTTGATGTTTCTGTCATTAAGAATCTTCTGGATTAGATCCATGTTTTTATTTCCTTCTTTCATTCAGTACACTATCTTTATCTATTTATTTCATTCCTAAGAACACATGATACTGATTTCAGTCATTAAATGTTGGAAGGCATTGATTCTGGCTGCTCATGCAACACATTGTGTCTTTTGTAAGCCTTTGCCAGATAACAGCTTTCTACCGGGGATATGTGTCTTTCCCTTCTGTACTCCTATCCTCCTCTTTATTTTTAAGACATACATATGGATGGTGCCTTCTGTTCATTCATTGTCTATCAGTTCTCAAGTTGTCAGATTTGTCATTACACTCGCTGACCACAAGACTCCAGAATTGTAATTTGTAGACAGATGATTGTCACTCGTTGTATGACAATGACCAGTTGGTTGACTTGCATTGTCTTCTAGTTAGTCAATCAGTACAACAAATAAAGTGGCAGAGTTTGATTGAGATGTGGAATCAGTGTGATGTTGATTGAAGCTTGTTGACTGTGTGATATCTTGTAAATAATCAGACATGTTTTGTTGCCCTAAGCTTTCAGGTGTAAATATTAATTCCTTGTTAATGACACACCATGTGATATTGTTTTGTTGTTGCTGAAAATGCTTCAGGCTTTTCAAATAAAAGTTAAAAAACACTAGTTGCAATGTTCTGTTAGTGATCTGTTCTGTTAGTGATCGTTTGTGAACCTTTCAAATTGTTTACAATATTCTTTCTTCATCTAAAAGTGTTTGTGAATTTTTTTAATTGCTTCTGGTT